CATCGTAAAAACAAGATTTTGAATTAGGTCTAGTCCAATTTTAAGCTATTTTTCTGGCTAAGTTTCTTTTCAATAATTATTTGTAGAAATTTTATTTTTCCTTACTTTAAAATCCAAGTTCCTCCTCACCTTATGCATGTTGACCTCCATCGGCTCCTCATGTACTGTTTCCCTCCTAAGAGGTACGGGCATTGCCTTGCAATGTGCCCTTCTGTCCCCCCACTCGAAACATTTAGTGCGAGGACATTGTGCCACTAGGTGTCCCGTCTTTCCACAGCCATGACACTTCCTTTCTTCCTTTTGGGGTCCATTTCGTGGTCTGGGTGGTCCTGGTTTTCTTTCTCCGGTTGTGGCTCTTCCTCTGCTTCCATATCCAGGTTCCCTTTTCCTCCAACCTATCGGTGCGGCCCTGAAGCTTCTATCGTTCACTAGGCTACATCCAGCTTCCTCTATCTCCATCCTATTTTCTTCTTCCCTCGCGCTAAAATCGACCATTTCTTGGGCACACTCTAGGAACGACCGTTCTCTAGGTAATCTGTCCCTTTCCAGTTTCCAGGGCCAATTGAAACTTAAGGATGGTTGACAGAAACACCATCCTGGCTTCTACTTCGCCTGCACTCATCATTTCGCGCATCTTCTCCATGATGTGGTTGTACTTTGCTGATAGTACTCCAGCATACTGCTCACTCGTCTGTCGTTGCAACCGGCCCTCTCTGAACATCTGAAAAATGTTTTCTTTCAGGGTCCACCTGCCTCCCCCAAGAGCATTCTTCAACCTCTCCTTGATTACCGGCCATGGTGTCTCATCGTCTGCTTGTATCTGGTTAAGGATACTTCTCCGTACTCTACATAGCAGGGCTGCTTTCAATGCTTCGGCGTCTCCCAAGTTCACCAAGTTTTTCGACACCTTTGCCTCTATTCTGGAAATGAGGCGGTCACCACCTTTCAGAAAATGATTGAGTTCGCCTACCTCTCCACCAAAGCGTTCCCAGCGCCCTCTTTAAATCCTGAGTGGTCCCTGCTCTTACTTTCATCCATTCTAAAGCGCTGGCATGCGTTTCCACCAATGTGTCCCTTGGTAGTGGAGGGATTTCTTGAATCTGCGGAATTTCAGGAACCTGAAGAACTTCCGGGGCAATGGGTTAGGAATTCCGTCTGTCACCATTTTAACACTATTCCACTGCTTGAGAAAGTAAGTGAAAAAAAAATAGATCACTATTTACTGACTGTTAACAGTGTCCCGGGTTTCGGCACCACTTATGCGACTGCTAAACAAAACAGTAAAAAAAAAGGAAAGAGGTTGAGAAATAACTTGCACGGCTTTAGAAACAATACTGCCTTATTTGTAAAGTAATCCGTCTCATATACATTTAAGGCTTCGTTTACATTCTAGGATGGTATTAAGGCTGATACTTCCCGACCCCTGTCCTTATCTTATGTATATGTATATATATAAAAGACTAATGAACAGCTGCGTAACATTTGTGATGGGAGTCCCAAGATACTCCCATGTTTCTCACCACTACGCTGAGTTAAAGTGGCTTTTCCCCTCCTTCCAAAGACAATATTTCCTAGGTACGTTCCTCTACCAAATCATCAACAACCATCGTCCTTCTTACTCCTACAACCTTCTCCAGTTCAAATCCTCAGTCCATTCCCTGTCCACAAGATCTTGACCTTCTGACCTTTACATGCCTTCTCACAGATTTGTCTCATTCCAAAATTCCTTTATTGTTCGCTCTGTCAATTTCTGGAATTCCCTCCCTATCAAAATTCGACATTCCCCATCCATATCCGCATTCAAAACCTTCTTATTCCAATTCCTATCCCAAAAACAGTCAGATAGTTGCTAACCATTCAAGCTGATTTTAATGGAGAATTTGATACATTTTTATTTTTTAATTCTTAATTATTTTCTTAAAAGTGTATACTGGTCTATCAGTGCAAATAGCTTTAAGTGTCTTGTCATAGCATTAATTTTTTTGTATATAGAATGTTTACCTTTTATTTTTTTTACATTATTTCTTTTTTTCGATTAATTTTATTTTGGCCAGATGTAATCTTTTAATTTTGTTCTATTTTGTTATTCCCAAGGGACTGTGTCCCAGAATAAATTTATTTTTCTATCTACCTATCTATCTACCTATTGTATTTCTATCTATCTACAAATATTGTAGATAGTTTTCTATCTACAAAACTACCAAACCCCAAAACTTCTCCATTTCAAATAATGTCCTCAAGTGATTCCACTCCTTCTTGTATCGCAGATCCCAAACAGTCATTCCCAAAAAAGCTCCTTCCTCCCTCCTCGTATTAACTAGTGTTCCTAAAGATCTTCCCTTTCACCAACCCTTTCCTTCATCTATATTAATAACACCTGTTATATGCTGATGCCCTCCACCAGATCTACCAGTCCTTTCATCCTACCAAGATGATTGAGGCGGTCCAAAGGCAACAATAAGATATAGACAGTATAAATATATGTGCAGTTAGCAATGATTTAAATTTGAACGTTGAGAAGACCAAAGCAATTCTCATTGGTTCCAAGCATTTTATTAATTCCATTCCTTATTATTCCCTGCTCTATCTTAATTGGTTACCTATTCGCTTCCACACTTCTGTTAGAAATCTTGGGGTAATTTTTTATCAGTACCTGTCCTTGAGTCCTTGAATAACCAACTATAGATTTTCTCAACTATCTGAAAATCTATAGCTACCCTCAAACATTCCCTGAGATTTTGGGAGTCTATGCCCAGTAAAATCTGTCAACTCCTATTTTCTCTCTCATTTTTCTCCACTTTGACTATGGCTGTTTTGTTTATGGTGTACTATCTGGTGGGTTTAAGTTTGAAGAGATTAATGAATTGTTTCATTAGGTTCATCTTTGGAGTCCCCAGACGTTTCCAGTTGATATATTGATTTGAAGTGGGTCTATCCTGCTTTCATACAACAATATTTCATAGGTGTATTCCTTTTCCAAACGTGTAAAACCAAAAAACCTACTTAACTTTATGATTTGATTACTCTTTTTTCCTCTGTTCATTCTCTAAACACGAGATCCCAGTCCACAAACATGTATATTCCTTCTCATAGAACGTCCTTCTTTAAAAATATTCTTTATAGTGCGTGTTACCTTGTTTTGGAATTTCTTACTCACCTCCATGCGCAAAACCTCATCTTTTACCCTTTGACTGCGGACGGAATACATACTTCCCATTAGGAGTTAGGTCACTGGTAAGGACAGGATATATGCCTTCCCACCTTGGGTGTCACAACTTAAAGAGGTCAAGCCTTCACCATTTGACTTGTGGCTTGGTTGGTGCATCCCTGTAGCTAACTCAAGGCGGTCGTTCCGGATTCTGACCATTTGGAAGCTATCAGTTGCAGATTTATTCTGAAGACATACCAAGGTATATCCTTTCCCTGCTATTTGTGGCGTATATTGATTCTGCGGTCTATATTCAATATGATCCTATTTATATTCTATTTAAATATTTTACACATCAAATAAATATTAATAAGTTAATTTTTTTTTTAATTAATGTTTTGAATGAATGCTGATTTTGGTACACTTGAATATCTGTCTACTAAACAAATATATGTAAGTTTCCTACATTTTTATGTGTATATATATATATATATATATATATATATATATATATATATATATATAGATAGAAAAAAAAACTTTATTCTGGGACTAAGTCCCTTGAGAATAACAAAATTGTACAAAATAATAGAATATTACTGGCCTAAAAGTTTGAAACAATAAATAAAATTGATAAAATAAACTAAAAAGTAAAGAAAACCTTAGGTGGACAAGCTATATACAATACAGATAAAACTATGTACAGAGTATTTAAAACTGTGAACAAATCACTTAAAACTATGAACGAATCACTTGAAACTATGAACAAAACTATATATAAGGGTTGAACAACAAAAACATACACTTTTGAGAAATGAAGAACGAAAAAGATATAGAATAAGTTTATTTCATAAAAAACTTTACTTCTATATATTTATAAAAAAAAAGTTAATTATAATTGAATAAAAAAAAAAAAAAATGAATCTTTGAAATTCCTACGTAGATAGTAGGAAATGCACTATCTCTTACCAAGTATTTATCATATGATTATATAATTGCTACACAATACATTATATAGTATTAATAGTTAGCTGATATCTGACTGTTTTTGGAACAGGAATTGGAATAGGAGGTTTTTGAATGTGTATAGGGAGGGGGCATGACGAATTTTGGTCGGGAGGGAATTCCAAAAGTTGACAGAGGGGGCTATAAAGGAATTTTGGAATGAGGCAAATCTATGAGATTGGGGACTTAAATTGGAGAAGGTTGTTGGCATAAGAAGGACGATGATCGGTAATGATTTGATAAAGGAATGTGCCTAGGAAATATTGTCTTCTTAAGGAGGGGAAGAGCCACCCTAACTTAGTGTAGTGGAGGGATATATATATATTATATTATTATATATATATATATATATATATATATATATATATATATATATATATTTCATATAATATAAAAGTGTTTAAAACTCAAAATAAATGTAAGTGTAATAATAAAATTTATAACTACAAAAAAATACAAGTATATACAAGTACAGGTATTACATACAAGTATGGAAAAATACTAACATTTAGTTATCTATAATTATATTTGTTTACTTGCCCTTATCATTTATTTTAATTTTAAGATTACATCACTTTGTAATTTAATTATTTCTTGTCATTTTATTCCAGACAAATGATACTTCTATTATTCATTATCATTATTCTTTAGGGACTAATTGCCCCAGAATAAAATTCACATTGTTTCTTCTTCTTATAGTTATTGAAAATATAATTACAAATTATATCTCTATTCACATCCAATGCATACATAATGCTTGTTTGCTTGAAATTTGTTTATATACTTCTATGCTATTTTTTTTAATTTCTTATTTTAATTATTTTATAATGACTTATACATGTTTTAGTTACCTGAAATATGGGAGCAACTATGGAGTGGTCCTTCGAATCCATTAGTTTATTTACAGAGTGTTACATCAAAAGCAGAAAGTGTTGCTTACATCCATAGTAGATGGAGAACAGAAAATATTGTCTTTGATTTATCTCAATTATACAATATTGAAGGATTCTTTGCAGCTCTTAAACAACAAGCTGCAAGGTATTTATTTTTCATAAAAAATATATTTAATTATGGTATGGGACAAATATTTGTTTAATGGATTATTATATTTGTGGATTAGTGGATGTTTAGTTAATGTATCTGAATGGAATCCAGATTTTTGAAATAATGTGCTCCTTAAACCTACCTCATTTCTTTTACTTTTAAATATTTAGTTCAGTTTATAAGAATTTAAAATTATTTATCTTTTTAAGTAGTTCTGTGAGGAGGGATGTACAAGTTCATGGGTTGGGATTTTGTGTTTAAAGAATGGACAGAGGAAAATGAGGTGAACAGAGTAATGATGTATAAAGGATCGGAAAACATAGAAACTAACAAATTATTTTGAAATAGAATAAAGCCACTTTAACTTGACACACCAACCGGAGACTTGGAAGTGCCTGAGGACTGCAAAGATAAAACTAATGACAAATTCATATAATCTCTTCAATCTCATCTCATGTATACTAACTAGATAGTCCACCATATACTAGGGAGCCATAATTAATGTGGGGAAATGAGGGAGATTAGGGGCATAGAATCTTACGAAATGTAAAAGGATAACAATGAATTTTTGGCTGATTTAGGAGATATGGTGATTCCAGGATAGGTGTCGATCAAAAATTACTCTAAGGTTTAGTGGATGGCCTACTTAATAATTATTAAATTATAGTGGTCTCAGAAAAGTCTCCACAAAAAGGGGATGTTGGGCTGTTTTGTAAGTGACATTGAATGAAGGAATAATGAGCAACGGAATATGGATGAATTGAGTGCACAACGAATTAGATTCAATTGTGGAGTGAACAAGTTGTTTGGAAATTGCCAAATGTGCATGTACAGAGAATCGGTGAACAAATAACAAGCTACAAAGGAGCTTGGAACAGTATCTGGCAGGGGAAACAGTCCTGAAATAGTTATTTTCATGTAACGATTTTCATCCTGCCTTTTGGCACATTCTTCTATCGACTTCAATCTGCCAGAATTTTCGAAAATTGTATCTTTCTACTGTTTTTGTTGATTTTGTGGGGCATGAAATATTGATGAAAGGATGTGATATCAAATTAGATATTTAGGATTATAAGTAGATGCATGAGCATCTAGAACTTGTATGGAAATATTAAAGGAAATTCAAGCCCAGGGATCTGGATGAATCTGGACACATCGAAATGAGGAAAATAAAAACAAATAAAAATCTGAATAAGAAACTCAAAAATAATACCATAGGTATGTAGAAATGATCTACTTTGTTTTAAATACTACATTAAACAATCCAGAAAAATCAATTATCTGGTGAACTATAATTCAATCCTAGATTTTCTCACCTGGATATCATACCATTATTTGTACTAAAATAAATTACTGTATTTTATAAAATAAAATTATTATTGTATTTTTATTAATAGATAATAATTATTATTAAATGAAATTTATGGATTTATGTATTTAAATTTTTTTTTTTAATGCATTTGAGTACTATCAGCTTTATCTAATTTATTAGTTCAGCTCAGTAACCTTGTACATTGTGTGTTGCATTGAATGGGGATAGAAGATTTCTTTTTATTTTCTTGTATGGGATATGACTGAGATGTAAAATCCAAGTTTTCGACCTTGCTCCCCTCTACTCCCTCTCCCTCCCTGGATCACTTTTTGAATATTCCAAAAACTACTATAGAAAATGCACTTACTCAGGGGAAAAGCGGCACTGGTGTAGATGCCTACCGTCCTCTGCCACCTAATTCGGTTTTCACTAATGGCATAGTTATAGTGCTACTCTCTTCATCTGTCTAGTATATATTTCTTCCACCAGATAATGTCTCCATCAGTTTCTTGTTATATTTTCAAAGATTTTGGATCTTTCTTATTTACTCCTTCAAAATAATAAATTAAATAAATGTTTACCTCAGTAACTCTTATAAGGCAGGTTTTTGATTCAAAACTTATTAAACTTAACGAACCTGTTTTGGTCTTAAATCGTAGCTTATTTAATCTAGTTTAAAAATGCATTGAATGTTTTTTGTCAAAAACGTGCTTCTTCATGGTCAAAATGGAAAAAAGAATTGCGAAAATATAGCAGTTTTCGGGATTTTTAATCACGCCGAGGTCAAAAACTTAAATTTTGCATCTCAGTCACATCCCATACAAGAAAAAAAAAAAAGAAACTTTCTACTCCCATTTGATGCAACTTAAACTCCCCTTTTCATGACAATGTTACTGGGCTATTATTCAATGCTTTTAAAAATGTCTAAAATAATTTTTTAACATAGTATTAGCTTTAATATATGAAGTTGTCTTTTCTAATAATAAACCACTTTGGCAATTAATGTAAATGTCAATTTGCATATTTAACTAGACACTTTAATACGCCTCTGGAGGATCTATTTCTTCACACATCTATTGGTAAAACTACTGCTTCAATTTTTGAAGGATCTGTTCTTATATCTGGTTTATTACTGGAAGGTGCTTTAATCTCAGAAAATCAACTTAAAGAAAATTCAGAAGAATCACCTAGTGTTGCATTGGTACCTGAGATATTACTGTCATGGAAGAGCTTAAAGGTTTCTGTTTTTCATTTTTTACTTGACTAATGTTTAGCAAATTGACTGCTGTAGTACTTTTAGGATTTTAGTCTAAAAAATTTGATCATATATTATTATTAAAAATTATAATTTCAATACATAGTCATCATCAAAAAAGTTCCCTCATAGCTGCAAAAGTATGGACAATGAAACGATTTGAACAATGAAATGACTCGAATAAATGGTGTCATAGTCAATAATTGTGAGATATTTTTTTAGTAAGCAATCAATGTTTTTAAACTATGTCTGTCAATATCTGTTGATTAAATACATATATATAATATAATGCAAGTTGGTTCTGCATGTAAGGTTAACTATTTAGCCCAGTCAATTTAGATATATAACCTTGCAAAAGATCAGGTAATTCAAATTTCTTTTTTATATTGTTAGGTGTGTAGTGAATATAAAAAATCCAAGTTTCCGCCCTTGAAAGGCTTGTGGGTTTGCTGCAGTGCTCCAAAAACCAGTGAAATTTCTATTTTTTTTTTATTCACACTAAATATCTTCTTTTAAGAGCGACATATATAAGAAATGATTATATTCAATCTTAAACAGCTTAAAATTACCTGCTATTTTGTACATAACATTTTTTCTTAAACTCAACAAGAAGCGAACTATCAAGCTTTCAAAATTTACCCATTTTGATTTCTTCACAATAGTGCTCTTCCAGTTTTGGATAGGAGAACTTTGTAACATATTGAACCTCATTCAGAGAATTTGGAGGTTTTTCTAGAAAACTGGCACTGGAATAGGTGCCTAGAGTACTCTGCCTAATTATTCAGTATTCAAAAATGGCATAGTTATGTTGTTATAATAATGTTTTTTGTACATTTTGACTGTATTAACAAACAAATATTAATACAATAATTTAATTGTCCAAAACAATGTTTTGTGAAGAAATCAAACAGTCTTGCGATGATAAAAGTCCATAAGAACACAAACAATGGTATGTAATTTGGATAATATCAATTATTAAAAAATGTGCTAGAATAAAGCTCATTTAAAAGTAACAAGATAAACAGTAATTTTTGATGATTAATTTTATTAAAATTAACGGAAAATAGTAAAAATAAAATTAAAGGTTTTTTTTTTATTATAAGGTTTTTTCGAATTTTAAAACATTAATTTCTTTCTAGTGGTTTGTATTAATATCATTAAGTTTAGAGAAATATGTTTCTAATAAAAACGATAGTAAATTGTGTGTGTTTTAATATTTAATCTAAAAATTTGAGCTACCTCACTTATAAAACCAGCTAATTAATTTTTAAAAAAATTTGAATGTTTTTTGCTGATTTTCAAAACTTTATCTATTTTGGATGCTAGATAATTCATTTCCTGTTGGGTTTGGAAAGGAGTTATTTAGCATAAAATGTTCGAAATTTCAATGGTTTTTGGAGCACTGCAGCAAACCCACAAGGCTTTCAAGGGCGGAAACTTGGAATTTTGATATTCACTACATACCTAACAATATGAAAAATAAATTTGAATTACACGACCTTTTGCAAGCTAGACCCCTCTTTTTGTGCTAATTTGACTGGGCTAATTGGTTCTGCATGTTTCCTATTGGACATTGGTTGGGTGGACTGTTTTCTTATGAGATTGTCTACTTCTGTCTTATTCACTATATGCTTTTGACCATCAAACAAAATTTTAACTTTTTACTGGTTGAAGTTTAATCATATATGGAAATAGTTTCTATTTTTTTTATGTATATAGACAGACCCCTTACTGGTCTGCAAAACCCTCATTTATAGAAAAACATGCATGTTTAATAAGTTTCAAGTCCATATTAATTAAGTATTTATTTTTTCCTCCCTTTTCTTTATTCGTATTATTGAGATCTCTGTTAAATCACTATCAGTTGGACTGATAATTTTTACATATATTTTATGAATAAAAATTATATTTTAGTAATTAAGTTTTTGCAATACAATTCAATTCACGGGAAAAAAATAAATCAATGGTTTGTAATAATTTATTCTTTTTATTTTTTATGAAAACACTGGTATTTTGAGAGACTGGAATTCAATTCTCATCTTATTATATAATATATAACAACCTCATCTCAATGTGGACTTAAATCTTATTAAACGATGAAGTTTTTTCAATCTAGGAGGTGTGTAAAAACAAATTTTAAATAATTCTTTATTTTATGAAAATAGAATTTAGCATAGGTTAGCCATTTCAAAATTCCCTTAGAATGGTTTTAATAGAGACAAATTGTTTTTTCACCTGAAGAAATTTTTATCTTCTTTCTAATGCTGGTAATTTAATGTTAATCACCTGAATAAAATATATTATATGGTTTCCTATTAAAAAAACACAAACTTTAAATAACTAAAGTTTTTTTGAAGGTAGTATTTTTTTTTTAAATGGAAGTAATAACTAGAAAAAGATTTAATTGATTGGTAAACAAGACCTTTTCTTCAAATGCAAGTAATGAGTTTGTTAAAACCATTTTAAGAGAGCTTTTAAGAGGATCTTTTAATCTTAAAGGAGCTTTTAACTATGTCAAATTCTGTTTTTTTATAAAAATCATGGATTATTTACAATTTTTTTATCACACGTCTCCTGGACTACAGATTCCTTCTTTTCAGGGAAATTTCCTTGTTTAATAAGCTAAAAATATTATAGTTTCATCCCAATTCAAAGTATCTTGGGCCTGACACCCACCCTCATATATTTGAATGAAAGTTTGTATATATTAAGTAAATACACAAATACGAAAAAAAAATTATCCAATTTTAACAACTTATTTCAGAATTATGGTCATTTGAACATTTGATATATTGGAAGCTCAAAAGAAAATTTTATTTTGAAACCAGCTTGCATGTATTTGGGCTTTCTTATATAAATTCAATATTTATTGAACTGGAGTTTTCAAAATTTATTCATTTGTCCTAAATCTCATGCAGAATCAAATGATACCATAAATATTATTACTAGAATTTTTCCTTATATGTAAAATAATTCTTAAACATAAAAAATGATATTTTTTTATAAGTTATGATACAAATATTAAAAAATACCTGTAACTAAAATGTTTCTCCAATTTCCCTAATACAACCATACTCATTACTGAAAAGAGCATGAAATTGTCTATCAAATGGTAAAATAATATTGGTGGGCTTTTGGATTTGAAAATTTTTATTACAATTAAAATATCATTCATCAGCTAAGACTCGTGCATAGTCAAGGCCTCTTGCAGCTTAGTCCGTCAGTCTTCTTTATTGGTTGCTACCACTCTCCAGTTGCGGATGATCAAGAAGGACCAGCATATATATATATATATATATACACGAAGTGCATACACTGCTACTTCATTGAACTGAGGTCTTACGACTCTTCTTGTCCCATATATCTTTTCGTCTAGGACTACCCTATGATTCTGATCCGGGGTCATTCTAATTAATTATATGCCCTGCTCATCGAAGGTGTCCTAATTTTATCACCCTTACAATGTCTGTGCTTGCTCTTGTAGGGTCTTGTTAGCACAGCATTCGTCCTTATCCTCCAGGTTCCAGCACAAACTGGGGTCATAAATTCTCCTCAATATTCTCCTCCCGAACTATAAAAGAAAGGCCTCTTGCTTACTGGGCAATGCCCAATATTTGGATAAGTGAGGATTGGTCTTATCAGGGTCTTGTTAAGTTATACCTTTATGTTTTGTGGAATAGCCCCACCCTTGAAATGCATCATTAACCCAGCATATAGCTGCAGACATAATTATGTGATAGATCTCTGCTTCTATGTCATTATCTGCGTTTACTTATGAATCAAGGTAAACAAACTCTTTCACCCTTTCAAATGTATAGCCTTCAACCACTAAGTGTGATGGTTCGTACACAACCATTTGTGCCTGCATGCATGTATTTGTTTTTTTATTCATAAACTCCCAAACTTACTCTCGCCGCTGCTATCTGGACATAAATAAAAACGTTTTCCAAAGCTGTAGGTATTTAGTTTATTATGCCAATCCCTTCTATGGCTATCAGGGATATTGACTTAATAATCATGCTGTAGGGCAATGATTCTAATTTGACTGCTGTGGACAGTATGTAAGGGTATTTGATCAAGGTAAGGGGTTAAATGGATTGCTATATTAAATGATTGGATGACTAGTGAAATAAGATTGCTGTATTTTGTGTCTATTGTATTATAATGTGAATTATTGAGGCCAAATTTTTACAATTAGGTTTAGTATGTTAATCAAGTGGTCTGCACATTATAAACTATTTTAACTCATTCTTCTCTCTCTCCCCGGTTACCTGGCCCCTTCCTAGTCCTCTTGAGGTACTACTCCATGTTTTCTTCTAATGCAATATGTAAAAATGTGCTTCTTCCTGCTGGCCAGCTATGCTCTAGTCTTAAGTCAACATGATTCTAGCAAGTCCTCTGCATGTCTAGACTCTGTCCTTGTGGCTTCTCTTGCCTGCCAAGATGGCAGCAGTGCTGCTTGCTTCTTCATTTAATTTCAAATTAAATAAAGTGAGAACTTTGCTTTATTCCCTTATCAAGCCATCCACCTAAATTAAGCTATGCTAATTTACTATAACAAAAAGCCTAACTCAGTGCTGTTATTTGCTATACAAATATATATATATATATATATATATATATATATATCATCTGCTTTACTATAACTAAAATAAGCAATCACAAATTTAAATAAATGAATGATATATGTCCTTATACTGAAAATAAAATAACCGAACTTCAAATTGGTTAAAAGGAACATAGCTAGGAACCAGAAATAATCCTGGCACTTCTATCTATCTAACGATGCTATGGACCTTGGCCTCCTCTGTGATCCTCCTCCACATTGACCTATCTTGGGCTCCCCTTCTGCATCTCCCAACACCCAACGTCTGAAAGTTCTCCTCTACATCCTGCAGCCAACAGATTCTAGGTCTCCCTCTGCACCTTCTTCCACCGGGGTGTCCCTCCAGCACCATTTTTGGTAGCCTGCTACTTTCCAT